CTGCCTGCTTTCTCCTTCAGGTTGAAAAGGCGTTCGAGCAGCTCCACTTCTCCTCCACCCAAGAAGAAAAAGAAGAAGAAATCGGGTCACCGCCGGAGCCGGTGAGTGCCCAGATGTCCCTGTGCTGTCCCCTCCCCCCAGAGGGCAGCTATTGTCCCAGCTCAGCCTTTCCCCAAGCTCCAGTGAGGCAAGTTCCCCCAGCTTTGGGTGGGGGGCAATGCACCCCTAAAGGTACACCCCCAGGAGGTGCAACACACACACAGGTGTGTGCACAGGCACTGCCATCACACCTGGCTGCATGGACTGGGGGGGACCAGCACCAGGCAGGATTTGACTCCCTGAAGGGTCTGGCTCCATCTGCCCACTGGTCCCCTCCCTGGTTAGCCCTGACTGCAGGGCAGGATGTTGTCCCTAATGTCCCTTTCTTCTCTGCCCTCCCCATGGCAGCAAAAAGAGGAAACCTGGCTCGGAGCACAGGTGAGTGCCCGCTGGGCTGGGAGGGGGGCTGTGGGGTCCCCACTCAGCATGCAAGGCCACCCAGCTGGCCTCCACCATGCACTGTCCCTCTCTGGAATCCCGATGGGAATTGGCCACCACATCTCCTGGCTGTAGGTTGTGAAGCCCATGAGGTGGCAATGGGACACAGCAGGATTCGGGTGCTCTGGCACCAAAGGCAGCCAGAGCCCTTCTTGCCAAAGCCCCTTTCTATCCCCCATCCCAAATCCCCTTGGGAATTGAATTCCATGGGGGGGAAGTGGATGCTGGGGGACAGCAGGATGGGGGTCCCATGGGCCATGGGGATGGGGAGTCCTTTGCTTCCTGCTCAAGGGCACCCACTTCCCCTCCCTGCCCGCTTCCCAGCTGTGACAGCTCCTCACCCATCCGCAAGGAAAAGAAAAAGAAGACTGGGAAGAAACACAGACGTGACAGGTAGGATGGACACCATGTCTGGCTGGGGAGAGTGGGGCTGGTTGGGGACAATAGGACTGACTGGGGATGGTAGGGATGGCTGGGGACAGCAGGGATGGTTGGGGTCAGCAGGGATGGTTTATGGCTACCCAGGCCCTTGGGATGAAGGCATGGACAGGGATGGATGCTGATGGCTCTTCATGAGGCTGTCACTGTCACCTGCCCCATCCATCAACACATCTCAGGGCCACACCCCCCCAAACCTTGTCCCCATCCTCTGAGGCTGCCTGGTGGTTCCTCCCTGCTGGGCAGCTCAGTGTTTCTCCATCTGCCTCCTCTTTGTCCCTCAGGTCTGAGTCTGGGTCACGAAAGAAGAGAAGACACAGGTGAGAGTGGTGGGTGCTGGCAGCCCCCCCAGTGCCACCAGCAC